TACAACAAGGAACCACTCACCCATTCACACACACATTCATACACCAGTGTACGCAGACACTGTGGGCAAGGTGGGTTAAGTGTCTTGCCCAAGGACACAACGACAGCATTCATCTGTGGGAGCTGGAATTACATCAGCCAACCTGTGGGTCAGTGGATCTGACCGCTCAACCTGTGATGTTTATGTCGAGAGCTGGATTCGAACCGCCAACCTTTAGATCAGTGGGCGAATGCTCTACCAACTGAGCTACTGCCGCCCATGGACTCACACTTGTCCTGAACGCAACGGAAAGCGTGGAATTTCTTGTACAAATCATCGTTAAATACGCATTTGTGCTTTGGCACGCTGCAGACTGACCGACTGTTTGCGTTTGCTCGCTCCTTCTGAGTGCAGAGAGCTACATGTATGGACCCCTGTTTGGTCACGCTACGCACAGCAACCTACATTCGGTTTGTCGATTAAAATTTACGTAATCGATGAAATTCTTAATGATCAATTATCGATTAATCATGCCCATCCCTAGTTGCGATCCAACTTAATCCATAAAAAATAACAGTGTAATTGAAAAAATTAAGGAATTATACCATTTTACACCAGTTTATACCATCCTCTTCAACAGACAAAACACAGGCCCTTACCAGAAAACACACCGTATTTTCCAGGCTAGACGAGCTCTTAAGCCTTTAACCCTATCAAAAAACAACCGCGCACCCCGCAAGCCAGAGTGCCCTATACACGAATCCACTCGGGTGTCCCAGCACGACGCAGCGCAAGCAAACACGCACGGAGCAGACAGCGACCGTGAATCGAAACACACCCACAGCCACACTCATCACTCCACGCGGACGAGAAATCGAACGGAGGAACGACCCAAAAAAGCGAGTCAAATGTACTACTCTGAGCCACAACTGAACAACTGAGTCACTGGAACACGCAAACAGTCCAGCGGTCCCAGACAGCACCCTCCCAATGCCCCACAATTGAACAAAGCCGAGAGTCACAGTGAACGCGCCAAACAAAGTCCGACTGACCCATCTAACTGTTGTGTTTTGTTTAAAGTCCGGTGCGGTTTATTTGTGAAAAAAGTTCGAAAATAGACCGTGCGTCTTATAATCCAGAGTGCCTAATAGCCCGGAAATATGGTACATAGTGCATTTACGTATTGTGTTATGCATAATTTAATAAAATAAACATCTAATAATTTGTATGTAAGAAACAACTGTGTATTCAAAAATCACAAAAATAGAAATAGCTCCATTGCCCATTCCTCATGCACCACACATGATGATTTTCACAGGGCATAGTTGTGATAATACTGTAAAGAATCCTTGCCCCTGGTCTTTTAAAGCATAAAACGGACTGCTAATGGAAGGCACAGTCTCCAGCTGTGCCCCAGTCCACAGGAACAGGATGTGCACCCGCACGCCGCTAACCCTAGGGTTCCCCCAGGAAATTGGTTCGACGAGGTGCAAAGACAGAGAAGGCAGGAGACAAAAGGCCAGATTGATCCTGGAGCTGTGTGCGACTCTGCAAAGTCGATAAAAATGTCTGAAAGAAAACTCAAACATCAATTTTTTTAAGTGTCTTGTGAATGATGTGTTTTGCTTTTTCCAATTTGAGTGGTACTTTGGATTACTGAACAAGTAGGGAGTGTACGGAAAGCTCCTCACATACTAACAAAATTTTAAAAGAGTTATCAATGCACTCTGCTGGAATGGACAAAATGTCAAAATACAAACAAGTCCGTATCTATGTACCTACTGTTGATCAGATCAAAGCTAATGTAGCACAGGATTGATCAAGTTACAAGTACAACAATCTCTGAGAGGCACCTGAGTGTGAATAGTTCTGAAAGGTTTCTTCAAATAACAAGACTTTAAAGGATCCCTATGGCATGGATCTTAAAATAATGTTTAAAAAAGCTGTCCTGAAAGAGTAAGAAACTTGTGTAAAGTTGAAGACTTGAAGAAGAATGAACAGTCCAAGTGTTGATTTATGGTCATGGTTCAATCCTCTTACAGACCTCGATTTGACCATTTTTAGCTGGTACTCAGTGTGAGAAGAGGTTTATTTCTGGGTAAAATTGCATACATCTGCCAAACTGTAATATAATTAGATTTTGGTGAATGCAGTCTGGGACAGTAGCTCAGGCTGGTTCCCAATGTACTGAAGTCTATTTTAAAACAAAGGGAACAGTGTTTCTCAAACTATGGTACATATGCCACTGGTAGTGGATTGCGGGGGGCTCTGCAGTTTGAGAATTTGTTTTATAATTTATCATTATTTATGTTTTTTGTGCATGACCTGTTTAGAAAATCACTGGAAAGAACATATTTGTTATAGTCAGATAAAAACAATAAAACTGTCAATGGTCAAACACCACATTCATGCTATAATAAGGGCAGGAGAGTTTGTCTACCAATCAAAGGTCAGTGGTTCAAACTCTAAAAAGTTTTTCACACAAAAACGTCGAAGTCTCCAGTGTAAATCACAGCTGATGTGTCACCTCCACAGTTTTCATGATTGGCACACGCCCGCCCACACAGAGCTGGTGTTGTGACTCTTGGCCATAGTTTGGGCTGTCAGGAGGCAACAAGATGGTGCGCTTCGACAGTGACTGTGAGTGACACTGCGCCGAGGCACTTGTCATTGTAACACTATGGCAAACACATGTGGGCGGCAAGAGCCAGGCAAACAAACAAGCAACAGGCTAAGCGGTCTGTTACTGTGGTAAAGCATGCATTAAGCTGTCTGTCTAAAGAGCATATGTCAAGTACAGGGCATCTCCACAAAGTGCACAGCAATGTCTTGTAATGACCATGGTCCACCAGAGAAGTGATCTACTGTTACACTGTGATGCAGCAATATGTGTACTTTAAACTTAAATGTTTGTATTTTAGCATAAAGGGTTTTTAATATTAATACTTCATTTCAGTAAGTAAGTAGCTACAGTATTTTAGATGCATTTCTTATAAATTCTTGATTAATTTCAATTTCAAATGGGAGCTATGACTGCAGAGATAAGATAATCCACAAGGAGGAAATTACAATGTTGCAATGCAAAGTTCAAGAAGAGCAGGAGATTAGAAAGCATGCAGTCAAAATCAATATACATAACTCAAGGCTCAAGGCAAGACTAACTTTTTTGGAGATTGTCCTAAAACTGTCCCAAACCCAAGAGATTTCCTTCTGCCAATATAATTAAGTGTGTTTATTATTATTATTATTATTAATATCAATATTGTTTTAATAATTTCCATTGCATTTCTGCAAAATCGTGTACTACTTGTATTTGTATTATAATTTCTTAAACATTTTAATAAGTTGTGGCCTTTTTTACTCTACTAACTTGCCCTATAGACCCTTGGTAAGAAGTGTTTGATTTGTCTGGGATTGCAGGAGTGGCACTGTTTTTGTTTGTTTGTTTGTTTGCTTTATTAATGCATTGTTTTTCTGTGACATAGATAGGTTTAATGCAGCTGGAACGTAACAGCTTAGCTCTCTGTTAGCAGCGCTACATGTTACTAGCTCCTGGCCATATTTAATGACAAGAAAAGCCCCTGTGAATTCGGTTCTCTGCGTGGATACAGTGTGGACTGGGTTTAGAGCGGTTTTATAGCATTTTGCACTAAAGCTGCTTTTCATATGAGTAGTCTGCAGAGGACTCAGATCAAGTTTTGAAAGAAGATAATGGAGCTGTGCAACTCGCACTGTCGTGCTTGAGCATCTTTTCCTAAAAACAGAAAAGTGAATCAAATAAAGCTTTCCATAAGTCCAGGGTAAATAAATATTCCAGAGGGCCGCTAATAAGAACAGTGAACAGCTCTAGAGCAGAGAATGGACAGGGCACAGGCACGCAGATGCAGCAGCAGCCTGTCATGTGTGTCCCTCTGCTCTGGAGAAGAGGGAGGGACAGAGATGGGCTGACAGTCACAGGCAGAAGTGTGCCGCTCTCATTAACACCGTGCTATAGTCATATTTGCTCTGCGGCAGCTTAAAGCTCTTTAAAATGACAATAATAATGTATGATAAATGTGCTGATGCAGCGTGTCTTTCCAACACCTGCGTGATAACACTGTAACAGGAAGGCTGGGGGCTGTGTCCATCCCAAGACTGAAAAGCTCTGATCGTCCACAGCTCAGCTTTTACTGTCCCCGGAATGATGGGACAGTGTTACTCTGGAGCCCTGCATAACCATTAAAGATAGACATAAAATCTAGCACAACTGTGCCAGTAGAGGAAAGCTATAAGGCTACAAAACTAGTGTTTACAATAAGTGGCTATGATAAAGGTTAGGTACAGTGAAGTATATGGACAAGAATAAAAGTAACTTAAGTGTATAATACTGTTATGTGCTGATTACTCTATTATACTGTTATGAGATCATTTTGAAACCTTGTTATTACTTGTAACTGGTGGAAGTTTTCATAATTTCCTGCCAACATAATAATTTAAACCTAATTGAGCTGGAAAACAATTATTTCCAATTGTGATAGCGAAGTATGATGTATGAAGATAGTTTCTGTTCAGGGTGCCCACTGTAAACAACATCAGGGTCATTAACATCTGAGAGAAGACAGAAATATTGATAAATGACCGCATGCATTTCAGAACATGTTTAAAGAGGTCTAAATTACAGTACAACAAGACTGCTGAATAAAAAGACAGACATGACAGGACATAGACAGGATATTTTTTCTTTGCACAGGACATTCTATTATCTAAATTGCCACCTTTGTGATTTGATAATTGTGCCAACTGAAATTGCAGTTTTGATTAGCCTGTGTTATGTTGTACAGTGGTTACTAATAAATATGATCATGATTCATTGTCACATTCTAGGATCAGAAAAACACAACTATTAGAGTCAGTATGACGTATTTTTCACATTTATGAAAAAAACACATATATCTCCTATAGAGTTATATAGAGGAATCTTGACCCTAAAACATACAGGTTATATGAGTTACAGTTGAGTTGCTGTAATGGGAGGGACTTACAGCTCGATGGCCTTGTTCCACATGATGACATATCCAGACAAAATGAAGGACTCGATGTTGACGATGTGAGTGTTCCCGCGCTCCGTCCCCACGTATAGCCATTTACTCTGAAAGGGAAGGTGGCAAAATGTGATCCTGGAGAGCAGAGAGACACACAGAGAGAAAGAACAGGTTAGAACATCATATGTACATTTACATTTAGTGTGCAATGCTAAAGGCCTAAAGATACACGATAAATGCCTTTAAACCTACAGTAAGAATGCATGTTTTCAAAATTGAAGTTATGGCAGATAGAAAAATGTGGAAGATCGCAGGCAAAGCAGTCATATCACCGTAGAGACAAGTACACAGAGCAACAGAAAAGTTACAGGGCATCTCTAATAGCTTGGTGAATGTTATTGTAACATGCTATAACCTGATAATGAGCCTTATAGAGTCAATAAACAGGTTTAACATTTCAGGTTTGATTTCAGGCTTTTGATTTTGGCTTGTGATGCTTTTACTCTCACAAGCCAATTGGTCCAGTTAGATTTTGACATTAATATATTTAAATTTTTTACTTTGTACTGATGCAATTAAGTCTTTGAAATGTTTTTATCATCTTAAAGTGAAAAACATAGATGGCTTCTAACCTTTGAAAACAGGACGCAAAGTAGGTCAAGTTCAGTGTAATCAGACGAGCCCCCCTCTGTTGTCTGACCTGTATTTCACCTTGTAAACATCCAAGATTTCATAATGCATTTATGTTTCATGTACATTTGACATCCTACAGATCGTTGTTGTATGTTTGATGTTGCATGTAGCCAATGGACATATACTCCAGCCACAGAGATATGCCCTACTTGAACTGTGTATCTCTTTTTGAAGTGTGTCAAGCACGTTTGAGCATTCGTTAATCACTTATTTTCAAGACGCAATATTGCCAATCAATCCCCGTTTTAACTGGCATACACCTACTGATCTTTAATTTTATTTTCTTAATCAATGGTACATGTTGGATTCAGCAGCATTATATAGTCAGTTTGGTTTTCTAACACAGAAGTCAGTGAACTTGTTTCTTTTATGATGTTGTTTTAGATTATTAATTTTCAGCCCAAATAGCTAGCCTTGGTTGAGGTCTATAAAGTATAAAGGTTTGGATCCATTTGAGTTTCAGTTTTAAATAGTTAATAATGACAGAACTGTGGTTTTAAAAGTAAAGAGCAAGACACTAAAAAGCCTCCAGAAAAGAATACCCTGAAATGAGCTCTTAAATAAACACAGGTAATGTCAAACTAAGTCATGGATGAAAATCAAATAGAGAAGGATTAGTGGATTAGTGGAAGGTCATTTGGGTAAGTACAGTTCAAGGGGACAGTAAAGAATTGACTCCAGACAGGCGGACCAGGCTGCAGTTAAGGCCATCATTGGGAGTCCCAGAGAAGATCGAGCATACGTAAGTGTACTGTGAGCTGCCAGCCTACGCAAGCTTCTGTGGAGCTAATAGCAGTAATGAAGTAAACAGATGTAGGCATTAATTGAATTGGTGGCGTCGTTCCGCAGACCTCACCATCTGCAAAAGTGATTCAAGTAATCTAAGATGTTCACTCAACTGCAATATAAATGTATAATTAATGTTTCTTGAAATGTTGGTATTAGGGATGGGCATGATTAATCGATTAATCGATAATTGATCATTAAGAATTTCATCGATTACGTTCATTTTAATCGACAAATCGAATGTAGGTTGCTGTGCGTAGCGTGACCAAACAGGGGTCCGTACTTGTGTCTCTCTGCACTCAGAAGGAGCGAGACACAAACAGTCGGTCAGTCTGCAGCGTACCGAAGCACAAATGTGCATTTAACGATGACTTATACAAGAAATTCCACGCTTTCCGTTGCGTTCGGGAAAAGTGTGAGTCCATGTGCACAGTGTACAAAGCAGCACATATGTTTCTGTGTCCAGTGGGAAAAAGCTTTACCAGGTGAGAGTCGCGCAATGTCGATGACGAGTCCCCACCTCCCTCCCCCCGTACGGTGTCCTGGTTTTGACAAACGCAAATATGTTCACACTAACCTGTATTCCACTGAATCATGTCTTTTAATCTGACAGAAGTTGACCGCATCAGCGCACAAGAGCTGAATTTTTATCTTCGCTGAGTTTATGCAAATTAGCGATGCGGTTTTAAGTTTCGTTTCTGTGAGAGTTGCGCAAAACTGAATTAAACACATTATAATAAATGGGCTGATGTGGCTCTAGAGTCGTTACGGTTTATATGTCGTAAAGTTGAATTTATTTATGCAGATTAGTAATGCAGATAGTAATAATAATGATGATCATTTTAATATAAAAACGTTAATGATTAATCGATAATCGATCGTTAATTCTTCCGACGATCGATTAAGAAAATTTCATCGAATGCCCATCCCTAGTTGGTATGCTAGTTATTCAGTGTTTAGATACATTTGGCCATAAACTATTCAGGCAGCCCAGCACAGTTGCCCTGGGACACAATGATGGAAGTGTAGCTGTCAATCAATGAAGGCACTAACAAAGAAGATTGGAAGCACATGAATGAGCAGTATGAATGCCAGAAGTGGAATTTGAACCTTCAACCTCTGCGTTTGCAGGCAAACACAAATCTATGAAATGAGCAGTAATGAACTCACATACGTACATCCTTTGTCATTAATGTAAACGACAATATTGATCTAAATTACCTCATAGTAGAAATTTTTTTTAAATTATAATTTACGGATTTTAAATCACAATACTGTTCTGAAACAGCTTAATAAAAGAAACAAGTTTACTGACTTCTGCTTTAGAAAACTGCGGTGCCCAATGGCAGCAGACGTGTTCGTAAACTTCATCACAACAAAGATTCGGTATCTCATATGCATAGTTGCAGATCACACTAACGAACAGCACTTTGTATCAAAATGAATCCACAGACTCCTAAGCGCATAACAGATTAAGGAATTAAAATTGGAGAAGAAAGTAAAAACTTTGGGGAATAAATGTTGAGAGGGTAGAGAGGGTAGAACTATAACATGGTTAAGACTTTTACATTAAAAACTGAAAAGTTGATTTTGCATAATATGTCTGCTTTAAAATGAATAAAAAGGAGTTTTAAATTTCAAACCAGTCAGCTGTTTTTCTGTTCAAAACTGTTGCACTGACCCTCTGCTGTTGACCCTCTTTTTTATAGTGACAGTGGCAGATTTTCAATGCCATGTAATTGTGCATATAATTACAGATAACAAACTTTCTGCTTCCTTCCTTTTGTTATCAGTATTGTTGATGTGCACGGCAACTGGTGTACCTAATTCTGTGGCCAGTAGAGTCTTTTACAGCTCAGAACCACACATTGAGTCATTGCATTTGAGAGTGGGCACTAAACTGGCCATTGTTTTATGTTGCATTATGTTTGATGGGTTTTGACAGTCGACTGACAGTCAGGGGCGGCACACGCGAGATGCCCACAATTATCACTAAACAATTGGCTTCTTGTAGCTGTGATTCATCCCCTGTTCACGGGGGAATTTGGGCGGTGTGAGGGCGTTAATTGTTCCAGGTTCAACCCATAGACACTGAGCTAACTGACAAGTTGCTGCCCAGCCCCAGACGCGTGATTCATGATGGCCTTTTTCACTCCTTTTATCCTTATGTGATTCACCGTTTGGTCCTATGCTTTTGCCTCCCACGACAGGTGCAGAGAGAGGGGGACTAAACCTCCATCCACCTGTTAGCTACACGCTGTGGAGGCTGAAATAGCTACAAATGCTTTAGAGCGATATAAGAGGGTTTGGTTGGTGTGTGGTAGAAATAAAAACTTTAAAGCCCCAAAATAATGTTGATTTTGATATCAGGCAGCCAGCCAAAAAAGTTGAAATCTGTGGGGCATTGATTTGAAAGATACAGGTAATAACACATTTGGTAGATTTGGTCTTGCTAGCTGAAAGTTGGAAGACTTTGGGAGTCCGTTTGGGAGTACAGTTCATTTAAAATTCTTGTAGAATAAGTAGTGCAATTTCCCATATATGTAGCTGTAAACATTTAAATCCAAGTCCATTTCACTGGGCTTGTAACTGACAAAATAGCTGATTTTGGCTTATAGGGTGGACTCAAATTACTGATATAAAAGGGGGTAGTCCCCAACATGTGGACCAAATGTAAAAACAAGCATAAAAAATGATATGAAGAAATAATAATTTAGACAGATGTTTAGACTGTTAAATGACATCGGCTTAGAGTAAAGACAGTTTGCTAATAACCTATGACGGTAAGCTCTTTAACAAATGTTTTGTAAACTAAACTGGCGGCGGTACTCTGCATAGCCTATTCTTTTGGTTCTTTCTCAGGTTAGGGCACTGAAATAAGTCACAAGAAACTTAGCAGCCACTTAATGTCACACAAAGCAGTGAACTGGCCATTAAAAGTTTTGCCTATAAGGACAAAAGAAGGGCTTTGGTGCTCTACAACGACTAATGGTTTAAATCCTGTCCAAGTTTCATAAAACTAAACTCTTAACAACGTGTGGTACAATGTGGTAACTAATGCTTCATGGTCATTATCCTGTAAGGCTGTCGCATTACCAAGAGCCCCTGGATTCTAAATGTCTTTAGGAGGATATGTATGGGTCTCCAATGACAAAGCACAAGTGAAAAGTGAATCAGTGACTCAGCAGAGGTCTATAATATAAATGATAACATTGAGTACTTTTCTAAATGGCTTTTACAATAGCTTTAAAAACAGGAGCTGCACTAAATAAATAGCAGAGTGAAATACTTAGCAGTAGTTAGCATATATGGTGAGTCATACAAGTTACTTATTCAGCCCTCCGCATAGTAGAAAAACAAAAATTCCCTTCTAGCACAAAGAAAATCAAATCAAAAATGCAAACTGATCCCACAACAAACTGGTTTGTTTTTCACTTTTATAAAGAGTGAGATAAAATCATCAGAGAATATGAAATTGGCTGCTTTATGAGCTTTCAAAAGAAGCTAGTTTATGTAACATCATATTCAGTGGCAAAGCAAGTCATTTCAGCAAATGTCCTTGTCCATGACTCTAAAGCGAGGAAGAAAAACATCTTTGACAAAATGAGTTCATCCTTTCATTTGTGGTTCAACAAGAAGCTGCTAGATGTAAAACCGTCATCTGTGAACTCCAGAAAGGTCAACACTGACTATTTTCAATATACAGTATTACTTATAAGAAATTGTGCAGTACAGAGTTACAAAGTGGGAGATAATGAAATATAACACATATATGTACAAATGCCATTTGCATTTCAGCAGAGCAAATTTTGTAGCACAGACAAGGCTAATTATTAGACTAGTGACTAACAACTTCTTGGTAATATTTATCTACGTTGCAGTACATCAACTTTGTGTCATGTTAAATCAGTCATTGCAGCCTATATTTTACAGCTCTGATAAAAAAAAAAATTATGTTAATGTCTAACCCTGCATAAAATGCATCTGGCAAAGTGTGGGAAATACCAAGCTAAATGGTCATGTAGCATAAACAAACCACATGGCAACATGCTAACCAATTAAGGTGTGCTAACCACATGCTAACTGCTAATTACGTATCTAATGGTGTTTCCACCACCTGCTTTCAGTTCAAATCCAATGAAAATGTATAGTTTGCTCCTCATTATGTCCATCACATCTCTTACCTTTCTCTGTTGAACTTGAGTGAGTGCAGGACAGCAGGCCTCCTCTGGCGCAGGTTCCACAAGTGCAGTGTATCGTCTGCACAGGCTGTGACCAGCGCCCCCTGTAGGACAAAAAGGACAACACCTTATTAACGCTTAAAAAGAAAGACCAAAGAGCACAGGTCTGCTGTATTCTTTGTAAAATGTCTCACAGTCTAAAATTAAGTAAAAAGAGAAACTATTCAACATTTTTGTGCTGCAATTATTTTTAAAACACATTTAACAAGATCACAATTATTGCCATGATGAACAAAAATAAAGTTAAATTATTACTGTACTGTAGGCCTAGGTCACAATGTGGATTTTTTTTGTTTTGTTTTCTCTTTCTTGCCTCAAGTGGAGGAGTTCAAGTATCTTGGGGTCTTGTTCACGAGTGAGAGGAGGAGCATGATATTGACAGGCAGATTGGTGCAGCGTCTGCAGTGATGTGGTCACTGTATCAGACCGTTGTGGTGAAGAGGGACCTGAGCCAAAAGGCGAAGCTCTTGATTTACCGGATTTATGTTCTTACCCTCACCTATAGCCATGAGCTCTGGGTAATGACTGAAAGGACAAGATTGCAGATACAAGCGGTCAAAATGAGTTAGAGATAGGGTGAGGAGGAGATGGGAGGAGCTCGAAGTAGAGCCGCTGCTCCTCCACTCTGAGAGGTGCCAGGTGAGGTGGCTAGGGTATCTGTTCCGAATGCCTTCTGGGCGCCTCCCTCGGGAGATGTTCCGGGCATGTCCCAACGGACAGAGGCCCCAGGGAAGACCCAGGACAAACTGGAGGAGCTGGAGGAAGTGTCTGGGCTGAAGGAGGTCTGGGAGTCCCTGCTTAGACTGCTGCCCCTGTGACTCTGCCCCGGATAAGCGGAAGAAAATGGATGGATGGATGTTTTTTGTTTAACCAGGATAGTCCTGCTGAGACTAAGACTAAGGCCCCACAGGGGACCCTATGGGCTCTATTCACACTTACTTGGGCTCTGTTGGTGGCAGTAACTAAAATCTGCGAAAATGGCCATGTTTTCTTCATCTAGATGTCATTGTATTCTTTCTTTTTTCCTTTTATAAATTGCCTATTAATTTGTATATTAACATTTGTCTAACTTAATAAAAAAAATATGTCATTATGGGGTTCTGTTATGTTTGGCAGTTACAATCAGCTCCCTGTATGTGACACTGAAGATGTGATTATGTTTCCAGACATCTTCTGTGTGAAGTGTGAATGGGACCTATTGTACATGTTTTTAGTAGTAGGGGAAACTGCAGCACCAGAGAAAACCTACACAGGCACAGGGAGATCATGCAAACTCTACACAGAAAGGCCTCACGCAGAAACGTCCTGCACCACCCCAGAATCGAAAACAGGACTTTGTTGCTGTGAGGCAAGAGTGCTACCTGCTTTGCCACCATGCCCCTTTCTTTATTGATTACCTATATTTATTATGACCTTTGTCTTGGTAACTTGATTTCATAATTTTTCACAGATTTTATTATGACATCTACAATTTACTAAAAAATATAAGATAAATAAACAGATTTACTTTGACATTCAAAAAATAAGGCATATGTATAATCAGTCATGACAAAAACACAGCCTACACAGTTGGTATAGTCTTGGTTGTGAGGAAGCTTGCATTAAAAGAATTTTCTCAAATGACTGGAGCTCCATGGCCGTGCTCCTCCGTGTGGAAGATGGTAATTACAGCGGTGTTCCCTATGCGCCTGTGCTACCCGGGCGGCACTGAGAGGAGCACGGCCCGGGGGAGAATTAGCTTTAGATTACAAACTTAATCATGGGATTAAAGACTGAACGCTGGATGGGAAGATGAAAACATTGCATCCCGTTGATTTTGTATTTGCCAAATTCTCCCTCGCTCCATCTGCACTGTGATTCTTCAAGGTGCAAAAGAAGCAATAAGTAAGTCACATGGGAAAAATTAACTTAAAGATGCTGTAGCTGATTTTTACATCTTAAAAATGTGAAAAAATAACTACTTGATATTAAATATTTTTAAGCTAAATATAAACGCATTCCTAGCATCCTAGTTACTCTGCAATGAGTTTATAAGCAACTTCGTAAAATCAAAGGCCAGAGTTTTGACATCAGTAAAGCTAAAAACAACTAGCATGAGAACAATACACATGACTCTGTGACACAGCAGTCTCATTTTGATGCTAAGAGTTTTTTACAATATACATGTGCTATTGCAATACATTCTTTATCAATTACATGGAAAAATAAACACATTCAAATGAAATATTGAGGCAGAAACAAAAGCTGAAAGTAAAAAAACAAAACCTGATTATAATGTCTGGTTATAATGTCTGGTTATATCCTTTATATGTGACTCATTCTTTTTTATTTGACTGCATTAATAATGTAAATGACAGTCCACAATGCCTCAAGCTGTTTATGTCTCTCTTAGAAACATGACAGCTACACCACTCACTTTGTATTGTGAGGAATGGCTGGCCACTTGTAAAACAAATATATCATTTCAAAACAGGAAATAAAATAATGGCACACTCAATCAAGTTACTGGCTGGTGGCTATATGGCTGGAACAGAATGAAACACACTTGAGTTATAATCATATTTTATTGGTCAAAATGAGAAATTATTTAGGTAATATAACGCCCTCTGCAAGCCAAATAATATCTTATCTCTATGGGATCCGCTCTGTAGCCCTGTAGCTTCGACCTCCACTACTAACATGTTATGAAATGCTTGTGAGTACTTTTAACATGCAGTTTACATTTCACTCTCTCAAAATGGTTGCCATATTCAGTTTTGTATTCTAATTACATAAATTCCACGATGAATCAAACTGTGACCAAGTCTTTAACACATGTAATATAGATAATGTCCTTAGCAATTAAAAATAAAAATTTTTCTTGCACAAAATGTTTGCTGCTAACCCAATTACATTTCACTCTCTCAAATGTTAAGATTCCTGGAAGTGTTTAATATGTGCACTGTACTGGATCTAATTGGATTTTCAATATATAGAAAAATACATTAATTTCTCAGAAGTTGTTAGGCCCTGTTGGCTTTTTATGAATCTCTGTGCTTCTGGAGCTGTGTGACAGATGTTGTAATTTGACAGAATATAAAACGTCTCATTTGACTCTTCAGCCCATTCACATTCATCTCATCCTGAGGTGTACTGATGTAACTGTCTGACAGGGCCCTGACGCTGGCCCCATTTGCATGTCCGCACGTGTTTGGAATCTGACTTGCATTGGGATGACACCAAAACAGCACATAGGTATAGAGATTATAGAGCAGGGGTGTGAACTTTTAGACATGTTATAATGCTGTTACCTCTTCAAAAACATACCTGGAATTGTGTTTTGTTTCATTCACACGTTTGAGTAACAATTTTTTTTATTAGTTCGTGTACATCTCCAAAGACCAAAATGCTCTGTTCCACCTTGTGATGTCATGTAGTGGTAATTTCCAAGTAAATAGCTACTTTTTAGTTTAGTAGAGATTGGCAGTTTCACATCTGAAATTATTTAAATGATTCTAGTGAAGGTGTGAGGAGTTTAAAAATGCAGTGGAGAGCGTAAAATAGCCTAAATATGCAGGATTTATGTGTTAAACATGTGTGAATGAAACAAAACACAAGTCCAGGTATGTTTTTGATGAGGAAATATTATAGTAGAGATCAGAAAACAGTCTAATACAGGGCCTCTAACATAATATGGCCTCTCTTATGTTTTATAATCTACCGCTCTGTCCCTGCATTATTCTCTGTAAATATAATGCTAATTAGCCTGGTAAACAACAAATATGAGTATAAAGACATATTAAAATGTTTATTTTAACTAGATTTAGGGGCTGTATGCATTTTGCACTGTTATTACCAACCCCACCCCCTTCCACCATTTAGGGAGGTTGAGGTTGACAGAGAGTATTTGCCATAGGAATCTGATCTATTAAGTCTGATCACTGGATTTCCTCAAGCGTGAAGCAAAGGTGGCAGATTAATTATTAAACATGAGAACTATGCAATTAACTTTTATGATACTTTTTTCATATACATTCAAGAACGTTAATTATAATTATGGAAATGAACTAACTGACTATTATCTGGATGAGATTGGATATCATATGTTTATCCTTAAAATGTACTGTGCATCGTCTTTAGGTTTAGTCAGTCTTAATGTCACTGGATTAATTTAAACATAATTACAAAACTAATTTACAAATGTGCCAATTCAAATTTGCTGCTGGTAAAATGGTTGCAATCTTCAGCTTTGTATTCTAATCAGGCCTATAATTAATAAGATGGACCAAACTATGACCATGCTATTAATATACATTTGTTTTCATAGCAGATATTGGTAACAATTTTCTTGGCCATTATTTTTGTAGCTAACTGCCAATCTCCATTCAGTTGGAGCACTCACCACACATGCATATGCGCACAGTGAAATAACAGTGAAATATATGTAGTGAAGGAGGAGCGGCAGCTAATAAAGAAATCAGGACAGGTAGACGCAGTGAGTGCCAAGAACGCAATCTCATTCTGGTGTAATTATCTGAATACGTCTGGATGCCAGAGACAGCCTGAGTGCACTGAAGTCGGGTACAGAAGTGACACAAGCCAACTCACATTCAATGAAAATGTAGGCTTCAAAGCAATGAATAAAAATCTGAAGGATTTAAGGTGCACAATGTGACGCGGTTGTCTCCATAGAGATTAGAGATGCTATTGCTTTGCCAAGGGTGTTCCGCACTATGGCATTACACATACACATACACACCCCCATACACATATACATACACATACACAACCAGTTATTGCAGCTGTTTTTAGTGTTCAAACACACAATCTGCATTCTTACTTTGAGAAGAATTGCCTCTCCACAGAACTGACCTGTATTGGATTTGGCCTGATGCTGTCAAGTGTTTGGTTTAATGAAGATAAATATGTTTAATGACATACTATGGTGTACGCTTCTACAGGAAAGTTAAATAGTGCACCTTTAAGTAGTGTATAATCACTTAATAAAAAACTATGTGATATAGGAATTTAAAAGTCAAAATACAGTTTTAGTTTTAAGGACAAC